AGCCTTGGTGACTTTGGTCCATTTAAGAGTGACGCCATCCTAGATGCTCTTCGTTCTCAGCAGTTTCTCTTGCCAGGGAGCCTCTCCCACCGTCTCCTGGCTCTTCTCTCCCTTCCCTTCCCTTCCCCGCCCGGCTCCCTCTGGGCTGGAGCTCCGGGGCGGGTGGGGATGCAGGGAAGGAGTGGTGCCCAGACCCACGAAGGGCAACCAGCACCTGCGCCCCTCCCACAAGCTAGTCAGGGCACACGTATGTCACAGCGATGCCCAAAGACGAGGCATTAAACGTCACCAGCCTCCAACGGGCTTTCTTTGACCGACATAGTGTCACCTGACAATTCACCGGACATGACAAAATTTTCCAGGTGTCTTTTATTTTTTTCTTTTCAAGATTTATCTATTTATTTGAGAGAGAGAGAGGGAGAAGCAGACTCCTTGCTGAACAGGGAGCCCGACACGGGGCTCGATCCCAGGACCCCAGGATCATGACCTGAGCCGAAGGCAGATGCTTAACTGACTGAGCCACCCAGGCGTGCCTCCAGGTGTCTTTAAAGTAGCAGGATTTCAGGCGACTGTGGATCCAAACGCCTATAACCGGGGCTGGTATCCTGCGGGCACGAAGCTGTCCGGCCCATCAGCAGGTGTCCAGGCAGGTTGGTTGGGCATGTTTTGATCAATTGGGCATCTGATGGCATGGGTTTGCGCCCTCCTACAAGAGTTATTCAGTATTCTACACACCCCCCCCATCCTCAACAATTGCCTGAGGTAAAGCAGTCCAAGCTCACAGCTACTGAGGGGCAGAGTCTGGATTAGAACCCGGTGCTGTCTGACTCACTTCTCTACAGCTCCCCCTACTGGATAACTCCTGGAAGAAGCCACTCGAGCTGCTTCCTCCCTTCAACTTCAGGGCTTAAGACAGCATGCCCGGTCCCTAGGCCAGGTTTGGAGAGGCCAGGGATTCCCCCAGCCTTTCAACAGCCTCAACAGGAGAATGAGATAGTCCAGGCATTGCCCTTCTCTTACTAATGCAGATACTGAGGCCCAGAGTAGGGCAATGACTTACCCATGGTCACACTGAAAATGGGAGACAGGCTGGAGATGGAAACTGAGGGCCCTATGCCCTATGCTGGGCTCTGCCTGAGACCCAGACCTGATAATTCTATCGTGCTGCCGGAGGCTGGGATCCCTGAGTCTTCCCCACACCCCCGCCCCCGCCAACTTGAATCTACACCCTCTCTCTGGCTGGAACCTGAGGGCTCAGTCCTGGCCCTTAAGGCTCAAGCCCTGCCCCCTAAAGTGTCCCCCAAAGACCTCCACTCATTCACTCGCTCGTTTGACAAGGGCTCCAATGTGCCCTCCCTCCATGGGCACTCACGGAGTTGTCAGTGGGGTCCAGATCAAGTCAGACCACAGCCTCTTCGTGGTGGGGCTGTGACTGAGGGGCTGAGGGGTCCAGGGAAAGCCCCTGGACGAACATGGGGTCGGGCACAGAAAAAAGGCAGGCTGAAGGAGGGGACATTTATCTGGGCCTTGAGGTTGTTCAGTAAGAAGCTTTCAGGCAGCAAAGGTGGAAGAGAGATTCCAGGCATGAAGGAACAGCATGTGGAAAGACACCAGGGTGCACTGAATTGTAACTTAAAAATAGTTACTTTAGGGGCCCCTGGGTGGCTCAGTCAGTTAAGCGGCTGCCTTCGGCTCAGGTCATGATCCCAGGGTCCTGGGATGGAGTCCCACATCAGGCTCCTTGCTTGGCGGGGTAGCCTGCTTCTCCCTCTCCCGCTTCCCCTACTTGTGCTGTTAACTCTCGTGCTCTCTCTCTGACAAATAAATAAATAAAATCTTAAAAAAAAAAAAAACAACACAAAACTGGCAACCCAGACTTGGGTTTGAGTAGCAGGAACTTAGGTGCGTGACAGAGATGGTGACAGGTAGTGTGTGGGGGTGGGGGTGGGGCATCTAGCTTGCAGGGAGGAGCTCCATGTGAATGGGGCCCGACCTCTGAAGATCCTGAGGGTGGGACCAGATGGACGGGTAGGGCACCTAAATCAGACCCAGCTGCCTTCGTCATGAGTGAGTTCCCTGTGTTGAGAGAAAAGCAAGCAGAACTGGATACCCCACCTACAACCAGGTGAGGAAATCTTCCCGGGAGTAAGATGGGGAGGGGCTGGAGAGAGGAGTTCAGAGAAAACTCCACAGAGGTGGGCTTTGAAGGCTGAATAGGAGTTCTCTGGGTGGGCAGGGAGGAGCTGATGTGCTGGACAGAGGGAAGAGCATGAAAAGGCATGAGTATTCCAAGAACTGCTTTTAATAAGAAGACTTAAAAATGTATCGAGCTGCAGACTAAGTATTTGACCTACATTATCACATCTAATCCCGATGACGACCCCCTGGGTGTAACCGGGAAACAGGCTCTGAGAAGTTAAGTAGCTTTCTCCAAGTCACACAGGATTACATTGCAGGCAGTCTGACTTCAAGCTGGAGGGGTGAGAGGTAGAAGCTGGGGCTGCAGAGCTTAGCAGGGTCCTGGATGAAAGGTGGGGCGCCAGATAGGAAAGAGAGGAAGGCTACACGTCTGAGGCCCCAGAGCAGAGCTGTGAGGCTCGTTCTCCTGAGGTGTGGGACCCAGCAAGAAGGGCCCAGCTTCGTGGTCTTGGCAGGCAAGCATCTTCCTGGACACCCAGCACTAGTGCGAGGGGGTCCTCATCTCCTGAGAGTGGGTGCTCACAGGCACCAGCTGCTTTGGCAGGTGGGTGCGGGGGCTCGGGAGGGTGGTGGAGAGGGGCTCCAGCAGGGAGGCCCCCAGACTCACCACCTGCTGCCCTCTATAACTGGCCGCCGTCCCACTTCAGAGTGACCCTGGGCCCAGACCGACTGGTGCCGGACACTTGCGAGAGCATGTCCCGTGTGGTGGAGCCGCTCCCGGCCCCAACGCTTCCTCCCGCGGCAGGTCTGCTGGGCCCAAGGTTTTGATGCTGATTTCAGTAGGATGGGAGCAGAGGCCCGGGATTGAGGGCAGCAGGGGGCGCTGGACCAGGCGAGGCAGGCACCTGCAGAAGCAGTAATCCCCACAGACCCTGAGCCCCAGGGAACAGCCTGGCTCTGGTCCCCTCCCCTGGCACTCTCCTGGTCTCCTCCCCAGTCTTAAAGCTTCCCTGGGAGGACTATGAGGATGCAGGGCAGGATGGAGCCCTAGTAGAGGGGGGTGGGGGTGGGGGGTGGGGACGGCCAGACATCTAATGTGCACACTTGGTTAGCGGGCCGGGTGGGGTGCAGAGGGAGAGGGAGAAGGAGACTCCCTTCTGAGCAGGAAGCCCGATGCGGGGCTCGATCCCAGGACCCCAAGATCATGACCTGAGCCGAAGGCAGATACTTACCCAACTGAGCCACCCAGGCGCCCCTGACATAGCCGGGTTTTAAACTACTGGAAGCTCCTGGTTATTTGATGATCACAAGCATTTTGTTGACAACTGACTTTTGGGTACTACTGAGCCTCAAAAGCCACAAGGAGGAAAGAGTATGGTAAAATTTGTGGGAGAAAGCTTTTTAACTGGTAAGAGGGTGTGAGGGGTGGGGGCAGGGAGTATGACCAAGTCCCTGGAGGGGCAGACAACTCCCACCCGAGCTCTGAGCTCTGTGTGTTGTTGAACTGGGGCCCCCACCCATCTGGCCTCCAGATGTGTGAACCAGAGGTGTGAACCCTGGCTGCCCACAGCCACCCCTCCCCTAACCAGTTAATCTCTGCTCACCTTTCTGGGAGTGGTCAGTGGGTCCGGGCTGCCTTTGACTCCTCCTTCCCTCTCCTGCACAGGTGTCTGAAGGGAGCCCCCTGGTCGGCTTCCAAGCTAGCAGCTAGCTGCTGCAGGGCATCGTGACCTGGGGTCGCCGCTGGGAGCCTGGCCTCTGGGAAGTCTACACACCTGTGCATCCTTTCATTTCCTGGATCAGAGAGAAGGTCTCTAATGCCACTTTTGAGGCCCTGGCCAAGAAGCGCCCTTGGGCCTGGCCCGGGACCAGACAGAGGAGGCACTGAGGCTCCTTAGCCTGTGAGGTCCTGGGTGTGAACCCTGATTCAGCTGCGTACCTGCTGCTGTGACCGTAGCCCAGCCACCTCCCCTCTCTGAATCGGCTTCCTCTTTGAGTAATGGCGAGGTATTCAATCATTCATTCATCCAACACTGTTCCCAGGGCTTCCAATGTGCCAGGCAACCAGAACACAAGATCAGCGTGGCCCCTGGGCTCATGGAACAGGCCGGCTGTCTAGGGAAGGGGAGGCAAGCATCAGCCCGAGTCATGACAGTAATAAATGTGCAAATACAAACCATGATGAGCGCTAAGAGGAACAGGATCGACGTGTTAACAGAAGCTATGACCTACTCAGGGCGGCCGGGGAGTGACTTATTTGAACATTTTCCTGGCAGAGCTGTGGATTCTGGCTCACTCTTCTTCCGACGGCTTGTGGGCCTGTCTCCCCCCTTCACATTAAAGAGCCGTGGCTTGGACTAAAGGTTTTTTGGGGTCCCTCCCAAGTTTGTTTAATAAACATTTTGGGGGGGGCATCCCCCTGACCTGACGCAGGCAGCTGCTGGGCCCCAGCTGGGGACTCTCCAGAACCCGGGCGGTCTGACTCGAGGCCTTCGCGCGCGAACCCCCGACTGGCGGTGGTGGGTCACCTGCACCCCGCGGGCTCCCCCTCCGCGCGCCCCCGCCGCCGTCCTCCGGGGAGCGCCATAGCGCCATCTCGTGGCGGAGGGCGTCTGCATCACTTGGCTTCCGGCCGGCCTGAGTCAGGGAGCGCCTCCGCGCTTCGGTGCGGGCGGGGCCGAGGCCGAACGGACACACACTCCCCGCGGGTGTGACCGGATCGGGCGGCGCGGCGAGATTCCACGCAACAGGCCCCCGCTCCGGCCCCCGGCTTCTCTGGAGAGGGGTAGGGCTGCGGAGCCCCGCCCTCCAAAGCCCCGCCCCCCAGCCGCCGTCGCCGGCTGCGCCTGCGCACTGCCGCTCACACGCACTTGCCTCAGCGAAGCTCGCGTCCCAAGAAACGTGTCCCAGGCGCCACGCCGTCGGTTTCCAGGGAAACCCGGCGCCTCTTAGCAACGCCGCGCGCAGCCTGGGTCGTTTCCGGGCGCCCCCAGCCTAGCCATGGCGGCCGCGGGTCCCAGCGTCTTCCTACTCATGGTCAACGGGCAGGTGGAGAGCGCCCAGGTGAGCGGCCGTGGACCTCGCCCGCCCTGCCCTCAGTCTCCCCGGGGACCCATCCCCGCGACCTCCGGGGCTGCTGCGTGGCCCCGGAGACACGCGTGGTTCCTCCGAGCCTCTGTGTCCCTCGGTTAGGCGGGGGGAGGGGAACCAGCATTTGAGAGGCTTGCCTGTGCCCCAGTATGCGCGGGTGGAAACAGGCCTCGAGAGGTTGAGCTCGTGCCGAGGACACGCTCGGCCAAGCCTGTGAGCCCGGGTTCGGATTGTGTCCAGTTGGTTGAGTCACGGGCAGGAGCCTAACGCGGGTGTAGGGAGGAGCCGAGACTCGACCGGGACGGGGGGCCTCGGTCCTCAAGTGCTCTGCACTCTGAACCCTCAGATCCTAGAATTTGGGCTAGAACGGAGGTGATCTGGTGAATCTGATGCAACGATGGTGGTGATGGAAAGATCCAGGGAGGGTCTGTCCAGTGTGACAGAAGGGGACGCTACTCTCCATCTCGTACACTTTATAAGAACCATTTGTCGTTATTTATATATATACATAGATATGTTCACCATGAATTCGCCCTGTGCCAGACGTGGCGCCCAGCACTGACCATTCAGCCCTCACAACAACCCTGTGAAGTGGGTATTACTAGCATCCCCATTTTACAGATGAGAACACTTGCCCAAAGGGAGTGGCAAAGCTGAGATTTGAGCCCAGGTCTGCCTGCCGCCAAAACTTTGCTGCATTACCCTTCCAGGCTGTTGGAAGATGGTGTTTATTATTATTATTGTGAGGATTCAGTGAGATGGTTTGGGTAAAGCTCTGGGTCTCGCTTGCCTTCCTGTTTCACCGGGGTTATATCCCCATACTCCCACCCTGTCCACCTGCCGCTTGGCCTAGTGTCCTCGACTGCCTTCCCCTCTCCTGTGTCATTAGGGGCCCTTGGCTGGGCTGGATCACGTCTCTCTGCTTTGTCAGCACCCACGCCAGCCCCGCTGTGCCTCCCACTGAGTTCTGGTTTCCGCCCTCTCTCCAGGCCTTGAGCTCCAGCCCTGTGTAGGCTTTATGTCCTGAGAGCATCCTTTCACTTTGGCGCCATTCCCTCGGATCTCCTCTGTGCCCACCCTTGTGCCAGGCACTGGGGACCCAAAACATCATCACACTTGTTCCCTGTTCACAGTCAAATGGGGTTGACAGAGATGAACAAGCCATCAAAGCTTTGATGGAGAGAAGGACCAGAGGCTGACAGAGCCAGGATGGGGGTTGCGGCGGGGCCGGGGGGGCGGTGCTTAAAACATCCTGGAAATTAGGGCAGGCTCCCTGGAAGGTAAGTTTTGAAGGACAAATAGGAGTTTGCCAGATGGCGGAATGGGAAGGGCATGCCAGACAGAAGCCAGAGCCTGGGCAAAGGCTCAAGGGTGGTAGCAGCCTGGGACTCTGCTTTGGACTCCCACATTTCGGGCCCCAGCCCCTCTGCTGCACCCCATGTCCTCATCCCTGGCTGTTTCTTAGACCTCGCCCCAGGTGCCTGGTGTGTAGAATTCCTATCGGTTGCCCTTACCTAGCCAACGCGTTGGCTTCACCACGGGTCCCCGTGAACAGAAGCTGTGTGTGCTTCTTCCCACAGTTTCCAGAGTATGATGATCTCTACTGCAAGTACTGCTTTGTGTATGGCCAGGACTGGGCCCCCACGGCGGTAAGCTGGGCTCTCGGGCCTCCCTTACTCACAGCCTCCATGACTGATGGGGGTTCTGAAGGTGTCCACCATACCCCTTCCCCTCCCAGTACAGAACCCATGGAGAGGTAGACATGAGTTCAGGGGGTTCCAAGCATGACTTTGTTCCTGGTAAAGCTGGAGTGGGGAATGCAGCCCCGATCAAAGCCGTGCTCGCTCACATTCCCTGCCCCGGGAACTTGCACATGGCAGCAAAGAGGAGTGCGTGGGCAGCCTGGAAGTAGCCGGGCCCTCTGTCCCTCCCCTAGCCCGTGGGGCAGACTCTGGGGAATCAGAAGGCAGAATAGAAGCTCTCCTTGCAAGACTTGCCTCAGAGCGATCTGTCTCCACCAGACAGCCAGACAAGAGTCCCAGTCTTCGTGGAGTGCACATCCCTGTGGGGTGAGACAGACAATAAGTACTAATGTTCCAGTGTGTTCTAGTAAAAAGTGCCGAGGAGAAAGTAGAGTCAGGAAGGGAGGTGTGGAGGATAGAGAGAAGCTGGAATCTAGGTAAGGGGGCCAGGGAAGGCCTCCCTGAGAAGGTAACTTTGGGTCAAGAGCTGAAGGAAGTGAGGGAAAGAGCCGAGTGAAGTCTGTGGAAAGAGCTTTGCAGGCAGAAGGAGGAGAGGTGCCCGGGCCCTGAGGCGGGAGGGTGCCAGGCGTGCTTGAGGAGCAGGGGGGAGGCCGGTGTGGCCAGTGACGAGCGTGAGCTGGTAGGAGCGTGGCTGGGGCTGAAGCTGGGCGGGGGGTGGTGGCGAAGATGAGGCAGGCTGTGGACGACACGGTCAGTCAGAGCAAGGACCCCAGCCTCACGCAGGGTGACATGGGACCCCCTCAGAGGGTCTGGAACGGAGACAGTGACCCACCTTGTATTTTTCATAGCTCCCTCTGGCTTCTGTGTCCAGAGCAGATGGGGGAGCAGGGGCCGAAGAGGGACCACGGACTGTTACCAGAACAGAGGAACGAAGACAGCACGGAGACAAGGCGCGGCCCTGGGGCTGGCGGCAGGCGCTGGCATTTCCAGTATATTTTGAAGGCGGAGGCAACGCGGTTTCCTCTTGGACAGATGTGGGGCAGGAGAGAGAGGAGTTAAGAATAACACCAGGCTTCTTAGCCTGGGCACTTGGGAGCAGAGCTGCCATTTGATGAGAAGACTGGGTAGAGCAGATCTGGGAGAACTTTCCAGAGCTCCGCCTGGCGTGGGTTGAGGTTGAGGTTCCTGCTAGATATCCGGGTGGAGGTGCAGGGTCGCCAGCGGAGGCGGGGCCACTGTCCTCTGGAGGTCAGAGGTGAGGACCAGGCTGGGGACAGGGGACGCGGGTTTGGGAATCAGCCACACACAGATCACGTGGGCAGCCCCGAGATGCTCCCACATGAAGAGGAGGGCAACACTGGGAGCCCCCCGTGAGGAGGAAAGACCCCAAGACATGGTGTCCCAGAAACCAGGCAGGGGGAGTGTGTCCAGTGCTGCTGCTGAGTCAGGTAAACTGAGGACAGAGAAATGTCCACAGGTCCAGCAACGCCGGGGTCACTGGTGCTACTCGCCAAAAACACTTTGGTAGAGTGGGAGCCTATAGTCAAACTGAAGTGCGTTCTCGAAAGGAAAGCAGAGAAGGAATGGGAGGCAGTGAGTACGGACAGCTCGTTCCCGGAGTTTTGTTCGGCAGGGGAGCTACGAACGGGTTGGTGGGCGGAGGACGACATCGTCAGCGTTGTTCCCTGGGAGAGAAGATCGCGTGCCCGGATGCAGCAGGTTCCGGGGGAATCAGGGACAAGCGGGAAACGACCTGCGGAGCCTCTTCCTCGGGCGAGGGGACGAGAACCCGTGCCCGGGCCGGCTCTTGAGGCCGGCCAGCTCTAATGAGACGAGACCTGGAGAGGCCTAGGAGCTGCTCCAGCCCCTCAGAGTTCGGTTGTGCGAAGCTAGTGTGTTGGCAGAAGGTAGCGAGGAAAACGGCCCCCCAGCCTGCGCGCCCAGATCAGGGGAGGGCCGTGGCTTTCGGAGCGCGGGCACCAGCTGTCTCGTTCCCTGTCCTCACAGGGTCTGGAGGAGGGCATCTCACAGATCACATCCAAGAGCCAGGACGTGCGGCGAGCACTGGTGTGGAACTTCCCCATCGACGTCACCTTTAAGAGCACCAACCCGTATGGCTGTGAGTCTGCAGGGGCCCCCAGGGACACGGGGAGGGGGTGACGCCCCGGGGCCCTCCGCTCCCAGCTCCTCTCTGCCCGTCCCCTGGGCCCTTGTGCCAGCCCCGTCCTGTGCTCTCTTCCCACCTGGCCGTTTCCCTGTACTTTCCCCCGCCACCCTACCCACCCTCCCAGCTCGTGGACAGGCGGTAGAGTTGACCTTTAGGAAGCTCAGAGTGTATCAGGTGGAGCCCCAGCCTGTGGCCTTGGGTGGCTCCGTGAATACTCGCCCCGGGTGGGCTTGGCCTAGCTTCCTAATCCTATGTGGTGGAGAGATTGCTCTGCGTTTCTCTTCTCACATTAGGAAACTGATGCCAAAAAGTAACATCATTTGCCTTCAGCTTTATATCTAGCAGCTGAGCATGGATTGGATTTCAGGTCCATCTGATTTCATAGTCTGGGCCTTTCTGCTGCATGTGGCTTGGGGCCTCAGCTTGCTGGGTGCGGGGGGTCTGGAGCAGGGGCTGCCTGGCAGTCCTCCTTGTCATTATCCACGAGTAAGAATGCTTCCATAGGCTTCCTGGACCAGGGCACTAGATTATGGACCAGTTTCCTGCTGCTGAGGAAGGCTAGCAGAGGCAAATACAGTATTAAAAAGCGAAAACAAAACACAACTATTTGAAGGCATCAGAGAGCTAGCAAAGTATTGGAGATTTGCCAGGCCAAGATCCAGGAGAAAACAGACCTCTAGAGATGTGATCCCACTCACATCGCCCCTGAGAGTATTTGCTCACTCCACCAGATGTGATCGAGAGGCTGATCGAGGGTTTTGACAGCTGCCTTGGGCTCGGGGTGCAAGAATCAGGAAAATCCCTGCAACCTGGACAGAGACCTTAAAGTGCTTGCTGCACCGTGGGAGGAAGGGGGAACTGGGAGCGGCCCAGCTCTGGATCGTTCCATACCTTTCACACGGTTGCAAAAACTCCCAAACAAAATATTCATAAGCCAAATCTAGCAGGATGTAAAAGGGATAATACATCATGAACAAGTATGGTTTATTCCAGAAATACAAAGCTTATATAATATCTGAAATCAACCAACGTGATTCATTGCTTTAAAAAGAAGGAAAGTCACGATCATCCCCATAAATGTAGAAACCATGATAAAATTCAACATCCATTCATGATAAAACACTTAGCAAACTAGGAATAGAAGGAAACTTTCCTTTTTTTTTTTTTAAGTAGGCCCCATGCCCTGTGTGGAGCCTGACGCGGGGCCAGAACTCACGACCCCTGAGCTGAAATCAACACCTGGGCTGAGATCAAGAGTTGGACCCCCAACCGACTGAGCCACCCAGGCGCTCCTAGAAGGAAACTTTCTTAATTTGATAAGGGCTGTCTACAGAAAACTTAGAGCAGACATCACCTTGTCTAAGTGAAATGGTGGAAGATTTCCTTGTTGCCACCACCACAAACAAAAGGCATAAGAATTAGGAAGAATATGTCCTTTTTCTTTTAAAAAAAAAAAGATCTTATTTATTCGAGAGAGAGAGCACAAGCGGGGGAGAGGGAGAAGCAGGCTCAATGTCGAGCAGGGAGTAGGCAGCCCAGGTGGGGATCGGTCCCAGGACCCTGGGATCATGACCTGAGCTGAAGGCAGACGCTTAACCACCTGAGCCACCCAGGTGCCCCAAAACTATTGTTTCACAGGTGACATTATGTATGTAGAATTTGCAAAATAACCTACAGATAAGTTACTAGAAATAATAAATTGGCGGGGCGCCTGGGTGGCTCAGTTGGTTAAGCGACTGCCTTCGGCTCAGGTCATGATCCTGGGGTCCCTGGATCGAGTCCCGCATCGGGCTCCCTGC